CCATTTCTTCGGATGCATAAGAAATGGGCTGTAGTCCACGAAAGCTTATGCTCTAATAAATTTGTTAGTCTCTAATGTGCCACAAGTACTCCTGTTCTTCTTTTTACAGCTGCTAGTTGTAACTGACTGCCCCACCTCTGTTACAAGTGTAGGGTAGATAAAAGGCGTTCTGTGCTAGAACCTGTGTAGTTTTGCTTCTAGCAAGCTCAGCATATTCATGTTTAGTAGGGAGAGGCCCTGTTGAAAGCAGGGCGGTGGCAGCAGCTATGTAAATATTCTTACCAGAACAGTTCCAAACGGTCCTCCATTGTTTACACTTTGGCCTAGATCGCCCTGTGCTTACCACTCAATCTTGAGGCTAGTTCAGTCCCTAGTGCAGCAGTTCTCAAACTGTGGGTCAGGAGTTGGGACCCCAAACTGGGTGGCGACCCCATTTAATGGGGTCACCAGGGCCAGTGTTAGACTTGCTGAGGCCCAGGCTGAAGCCAAAGCCCGAGCCCCACCACCCAAGGCTGAAGCCGAAACTTGAGGGCTTCAGCCCAGGGTGGAGGGGCGCAGCACTCTCCCCCTCCCCCCGGGGGGGGTGTCATGTAGTAATTTTTGTTGTCAGAAGGGGGTCACGATACAATGAAGTTTGAGAATCACTGCCCTAGTGTAAATTAGGGCAGCCTGGAGGCCCTAACTTACGCTCAGCTGTCCAGGGCTCCAAGGGCCATTCTGGCAGCTGGGGATTAGTGGGGCTCAGGGACCCCGGGAGCCAAGGGCTAGAATAGGAGTGACCCAGGAGCTTCCCCTCTGCTTTGCATCAGCCAAGGATTTTCCCGCACAGTGAGAAGCTGGGGGGGGGGGGGAGAGGGGGTTGCACTGTGGTGGAGTCCAGCATCTGATCCGTTGTTTCCAAGTCCTTATTTCAGTGGTGAAAATTTGTTTTAGTGGCAGGAACAATAGAAATCTGCTATAGTGGCTTCCCCTTCAAATCTGCACTATTCCCCCTCCAGGCTTTCCCCTCTACTGATCTGCCAGCCTCTCAGTTTAGTTCAAGGAGACTTTGTTTGCATGAGGTGCAGTACAAGCTTTGTGAATGTGTAAAGAAAAGATAAACTCCTCAGCTATGTGCCAAATGAGTAGAACCCACTCAGGATCGCATTACACACTGTATTTCAACACCAGATAACCTAAGCCACTCACATAGCAAAGTCCATCAGAAATATTTATTACATTATTGAAGCGATTTACTGTTAGACCAAAGAAACCTCAAAGACTCTGCACAGTGAATGCAAGACTGCTGTGCCTCTCACCTGGCTTTTCAAAGAAGAGCATTTCCTTGAATCTGTCAAGAAGCTACATGGTAGATATTGAACTCTCTGCCTATTCCAAATGAGCAGCTCTTCCCCCAGTAACGTCCTTTCAGATGACTGCTCTCCATCTGAAGGCGTTAGCTGAAAGCATGAAAAGCAGGAAGCCTGCCAAACAATCAGTGGGGCCACTGTAGGATTGAGGTGCTAAAGGAGCACTCAAGGAAGACAAGGCTTTTGTGGAGAAGCTAAATTAATTCTTTGCGTCAGTCTTCACTGCAGAGGATGTAAGGAAGATTCCACAGCTGAGCCATTATCGTTAGGTGACAAATCTGAGGAACCATCTCAGATTGAGGTGTCAGAGGTTTTGGAACAAGTTGATAAATTAAACAGTAATAAATCACCAGGACTAGGTGGTATTCACCCAAGTATTGCAGAACTAACAACTGTGTAACCTTTCGCTTAAATCAGACTTTGTGCCAGATGATTGGCAGATAGGTAATGTGACACTGATTTTTAAAAAAGGATCCCGAGGCAATCCTGGAAATTGTAGGCCGGTAAGCTAAACTTCAGTATCAGGCACACTGGCTGAAACAATAGCAAAGAACAGAATTATTACACATAGATAACACAATATGTTGGGGAAGAGTCAACGCTGCCTTAGTAAAAGGAAATCATGCCTCACCAGTCTATTAGAATTCTTTGGGTGGTCTACAAGCATGTGTACCAGGGTAATCTAGTTGATCTAGTGTACTTGGACTTTCAGAAAGCCTTTGACCAGGTCCCACACCAAAAGGTCTTAAGCAGTCATGGGAAAAGAGTGGAGATCCTTTCATGGATCACTAACAGGTTAAAAGATAGGAAACGAAGGGTAGGAATAAATGGTCAGTTTTCAGAAGGGAGAGAGGTAAATAGTGTGGTCCCTCAAGGGTCTGTACTGGGACCAGTGCTGTTCATCATATTCATAAATGATCTGGAAAAGGGGGCAATCAGTGAGCTGGAAAAGTTTGCAGATTATACAAAATTATTCAAGATAGTGAAGTTCAAAACTGCCTGCAAAGAGTTACAAAGGGCTCTCACTAAACTGGGTCACTGGGCAACAAAATGGCAGATGAAATTAAATGTTAATAAATGCAAAGTAATACACACATAATCTAACGGGGTCTAAATTAGCTGTTACTACCCAAGAAAGAGTTCTTGGAGTCATCATGGATAGTTCTCTGAAAACATCCACTCAGTGTGCAGTGGTGATCAAAAAGAGAAAGTTAAGAACCATTAGGAAAGGCATAGATAAGACCAAAAAAGATCATAATGCCACTACAGAAATCCATGGTACACCCACACCTTAAATGCCACGTGCAGTTCTGGTTGCCCCATCTACAAAAAAAGATAAGTAGAGTTGAAAAAAGTACAGAAAAGGGCAACAAAAATGATTAGGGGTATGGAACAGCTTCCACATGGAGAGATTAAAAACACTGGGACTGTTAATCTTAAAAAAGAGATGACTAATTAGGGACATGATAAGAGGTCTGTAAAATCCGGCATGATGTAGAAAGTGAATAAGGAAGTGTTATATACTCCTGCACATAACACAAGAACCAGAGGTCACCCAATGAAATTAGTAGGTTTAAAACAAACAAGGAAGTAGTTCTTCACACAATGCACAGTCAACATATAGAACTCATTGTCATGGGATGTTTTGATTGCCAAAAGTATAACAGGATGCAAAAAAGAATTAGATAAGTTCATGGAGGATAGGCCTATCAGTGGCTCTTATCCAAGATGGTCAGGGATGCAACCCCATGCTCTGGCTGTCCCTAAACGTCTGGCTACCAGAAGCTGGAACTGGCCAACGGGGGATGGATCACTTGATAAATTGCCCTGTTCTGTTCATTCCCTCTGAAGCATCTGTCACTGGCCCCTGTTGGAAGACTGGATACTGGGCTAGATGAACCTTTGGTCTGAATTGCTATGGCCAGTCTTATGTTCTTACTGTTTGTGGAGTCAGGAGTGAAATGGTTAATGGTACGTTTCAGTAGTAATTAGATTTCCAAGGTAGCAGCCCACAGAGATGAATGGGGGACGTTCAAACTGCTTAGTGCCATTGTTTCAGATGGGCTGCAGCTTTGGCCCAACAATAGTGCAGTGGTGTCCACTCTGTGGGGCGAATTTGACACACAGAGCTAGAAACTTCCTCTTTAAGATAAGCACTTAGATACTGGGCTAAGTATTAGCTTATGTATTGCTATTGTCCCAGGTCACAGCTCTTAATCAGTTTTGAAAGTGGTTTGCGGATTCAGTTTGTAAACCTACTACATTTTCGCAGTGCTTAATATTGCTGGAGTGTTGTTAAAGTGCCAGACAAACGGCTATAAAGAGGATTTACAGGAACATCACAGTGAATTTCACAGCAGGATACAGTACAAACTGGGTTTATAAAGAGCAACAATGGTGTGGTGTGTTGTCACAGTAGTTGTCCAAAATAACGTATGCAAGGGCTGTCTATAGCACTTCCCTACTAGGGGGAACTCCCAGCACTTTAGGAAGCTTCTTTTTTTTCTTCTGAAGTTGAGGAATAAAAGTATGATAGTAACATATGAAAGGGTCATTATCTAGATTTCCTACATCTTAAATGCATCATACAATAGCAGTACCTTCCTGGTTTCATTTACATTTCTTTTCCCAACTTATCTTAGAAACTTGGGAAAGTATTATTGTTTCCTCATTTTGTGTAAGGGCCTATGCATAAACAAAGTGTATGCCCAATCCACGTTTTAAACAGGTAGTGGAGATACTTTCTATAGGTGTGGCTTCTCTTAAAAGATGAGAAATATAGGTCATAAGTTATTTTAGTGTGTCTAAATCTGGTTCTGTTTTCATAGCGCAGCCTTCATAAAATGCTAGTGTTGGACAGTGCTATCAGCATCTCAAATGTGAATGCGTTTCAAGTATCAGACCCCTCCCCCTCTGCCTCTGGGAGTGAGCCTGCCAGCCCATATAGACAGATTCATGCTAGTGGGGCTTGCGCTAGTGTGCTAAAAATGGCAGCATGGGCATTGCAGTTCCAGTGGAGACTCGGGCTAGTCACTCCAGCTCACACCCAGCAGCTGGGGTGGGCTTTGCTTGAATACCTGAGCTGCTGCCCAAGCAGCACAAGCCACCTTGCTATTTTTAGTGCACCAGGTTGAGCCCTGCCAGCACAAGTCCATCTACCAGAGGCTGGGAGGCTTGGTCCCAGCTGCAGTGTGGGCATAGCGTTACAGGCTAAAGCATAACCAACCACCCAGTTATTGGAGTTGTACTACAGAACTAACTGAGGGGTTCTTAAGGAATGATGTACTTGAATTTGTAAGGATGTGACGTGGCTGGGAATGTGCAATATCAGGGTAGGTCTACACTTAAAACACTGCAGCTGCACTGCTGCAGCGCTTCAGTGAAGTTGCTACTACACCGACAGGAGCGCTTCTCCCATTGGCGTCGTTACTACACCTCTGCGAGAGGCAGCAGCTATGTCAACGGGAGAAGCCCTGCTGTTGCCATAGCACTGTCTACACGGGGAATTAGGTGGTTACAACTGCGTTACTCAGCAGTGTGGATTTTTCACACTCCTGAGTGATGGAGTTATACGGATACAAGGTTGCAGAGTAGACCTGGCTTTGGCCTCATTTAGACCTGTTAGACTGCTGCCTGTAAGCGGTTTCTGAGGTGAGTGCACGTAGGCTCCTAACTGAAAAGCCCAACCAGTGCAAGGGACGATGTGGGGAACATTGACGTTATCCTGTAGAGTGGAAAGAGCCCAAGGTCATAGCACAGTTCACTCTCATTTAGAGTACAAAACAGAAGAGCATTTGAACCATGATGCAACAGGTTTTCCAGCCCTGCTGAGTTATAGATAGGTTCGAGCAGAGGTTCCCTAGCCTGTACATACAGGGATTTTTTTTAAATCCAAAACCAGTAGTATTAAACCAGTCTAAGTTCAAAATACAAATTTGTAGTCACGCTAGGGAAGAGTGTTTGACGAACTCTCTAAAGCTTATTTTCTGCTTACAAGTTTCGTCGCTGGTTCAGATCCAGCAGCGTCAACAACACTGGGAGCTTTAGTATACACGGAGTGTGGATTGCTGCTGTAGTTTAGCGTGGTGTCCTGTTCAAGCAAGTCTAACCACTATGCTGTTAAAATAGCAAGTACTGCTAGGTTATTTTTTTTTTTTTTTTAAGAATGTTACTCTAGAGCAGACAAGCCAATAGGCAAATATATGCAGATACATCTCACCGATGGCAGAACTGTGCAGTAGTATGACTCTTTCTATAGTACAGCTGAGCCCCAAAAATGGCTTAAACTCCATTGTAACAAAGAATAGTTATCTCTCTGCTTCAACAGAGTGGACAAGGCCTCTCTCACGTTAGGGGGATAATGTGTAGCACAGTTTGGGTAGCATGGCTCTCAGGGAGTGTGTCTCAATATGGTCTGGGTGGGCACCCATTCCAGTAACAACTGTCTTACAGATGGATTTGCTAGTGGGTGTTTATGGCCACTACTCAGTTGTTCAAATACAGTTAAATTGGGGATGGGCTTATATCAACAACTGAGTTTCAGATCAGACCTTCCCATAGATCATCCGTGTACAGAGGTGGGATTTTCATTATAGAGTTAGGCCCCACTGCTCCAAGCTGTTGCATGTAACTAAGGGTCCATACAGAGCACCCCTGCAGTATAACATATGTTAGCTTAGGGCATAGCCTGCATGATTGGGGTTTTAGAGTCTATTGTCCCCACAGTCCCAACAGAATTTTGGGGAGGGCTGGAGGTGAGATTGGGGGTTGGGACTGTCTACACAGAACAAAGGAGTTATCATCTGACTTAAAACCTCCACTATACTTGTGTTAAAATGGTTTTCAGATAGGGAATAAGAACTTGTGTAAGTGGTGCCTGGGGCTTTGTTCAGAGCCTTTTGTGG